GCTTGAGCACCTTGTAGATGTATATGGAGTACTTTCCTCTGCACTGGCTGTGCCTTTTGGACTTCTTGTTCCCAGGACTATGGCTCCTTTGGTTCCTGGTCTGTTGCCACCCAAGCTCAGTACTCATACTCCAGCTCCTGTGACTCCACATGACCACCCCCTGCTCCTTGAAGCCCCATATGTGACTCTAGCTATTCCACGAAGTGTGGCTAGGGGTGAGCACCTGGGGTGGAGGGGTGAGAGGCAGCCCCCATTTCCCTTTATTGGCCAAGGGCTCCTTGAACAGAAGGAAGCAGACCTAGTGGGATCACGCTTGACGGGCTTGTAGGTGATGGGAGACTTGCCCAGGTCATGGCCTTAGGCTTGAACTCCACCCCACTGAAGGTCTTGTGGTTGTATTTACTCACCATCGTGAGCAGGATGATTTTGTCTCACAGATGGGTCTTCTCCACTGGGGGGCAGGGGGCACCTCCTTGGCCTTGCATGGCAGCAAAGGCTATACAGCAACTAACAGGATTTGTCCCGTGTTGTTGGAGGTCTACACTGCATTAGGTGAGCTTGTGCAAAGTGTGCTACTGCTTTTGCACTTAACAGATCCCAGTCAATCTTTTTTTTTTTTTAAGAACACATTTTATTTTCATTTATTTGTGTACCGTCAAATTGGATCTGACTGGTACAGGAGGCAATTGCTCCTCCTTCTTCAGCAGAGCATCTGGTGGATTTGAACCGCACACCTCTGGGATTGCAGTGCCAGTCAATCTTGAGTAGTGACTCCCTCCTCTTCCCAAGTGATTTCCCATTTCTTGGAGTGAGTCCTGCACCAGCCACCTCTTAGTGTATTTAGGAATGTTCTCAAAGTTGACACCCAATCGCCAAACCAACATAAGATGGTTTCTGACCATCTTGTCTTTGCTCCACATATTGAGGTGGCAAGACGCACACTGGGCCTCACAGATCCCAACAACGGTGCTGAAGATGGAAGAAAAACGGGGCCAAGGTTGGTGATGGCCAGTGTGCAGTGAGCTTAAAAACCCAGCCAACATCGAGGCAGTTATAGTAGCCTGAGGCTCTCCTGAAAGCACATGATTCAAAGCCAATCCTGTGGGATGGCTACCATCTAACTGGGAAACACTGGGAAGGAGGGAAGCAGATGAAGCACCCAACCTACTGGGGGACAACAGACCACGCAGGAGGGCAGAAGCCTGGCTGAGGGTCTTTTAGATGAAAGAAAGAGGCATGTATATGAATGGCTGGGTCTGTAAAGCCAAATGGGGAGAGAGTGGTAGCAAGGCCTTAATGGACGGAAGATGTTTGCCTCAGCACTGTGTACAGGTTCCTGGCAGTGAACCAAGCACCTCAAAACATGAAAATCAGAGCAGGCTGGGGGCCTGAGGTATTCAATAGCAAGTGGTAGGGAAACAAGCCCCAGAGGCAAACACCCCCTCCTGCCACCCGCCAAACTGTGTGACCCTGTGGTTCCGCCCCTGGCCATCCTCACCCCTCCACTCCCACTTCTTTCCTCCTTGGGTCTCCATTATGTCCAGCTTGAACCACCTCACCTCTTGCCCAGTTCTGACCACCTGTTTTACATGATTAAAATTTAGGAGGACCTGGGCGGCTATTCATAAGATGAAATAAAAACTAAAAAACTCTCAAAACTTACTACTCAGTGGCAAAGTTAAATAAGGCAGGAAGCAATAAATGTTGGACAGGATATGGAGAGGTGGGAATTTTCATACACTGCTGGTGGGAACTGCAAAATGGTACAACCACTCTGGAAGGCAGTTTGGTGTTTCCTAAAAAAACTCAACATAGAAACTCTGTATGATCCAGCTATTCCACTACTAGGAAGATACAAGAAAATTAGAACCGAGACACAAATGGAGATTTGTACACCAATGTTCACAGCAGTGTTATTCACCATCTCACAAACATGGTAACAGCCTCAATGTCCAGCCACAACTGGAGATTGAAAAATTGAGGTACATTCACAAAATGGAATACTATGTAGCACTCAGGAGCAATGATTTAAAAAAAACTCCTAACTTGGGAGAGATTGGAGAGCATTACGCTGAGTTAATGAACTCAGTCTCCTGAAGAGTCTCATAAAGACTGCATACTACCATTATTGTAAAAACAGGACAACTAGTAAAACATGTATGGAGACCCAAGGGAGAAAAAGGTGGGACTGGAGGGGTGAGAATGGTCAGGGGTGAAACCACAGGGTCACACAGTTTTGTGGGTGGCAGGAGGGGGTGAAGCAAATGGGAAAGATCCAGCAGGGACCTGAAAAGACAGGGTAATGATAGGCAAGGTCCAATAGTGATTAATTTTATAAAACACAATGCATGGAAAATGATTGTACAAAACACAATGTGAATGAAGAATGTGAAACACGATGTATACAAACTTTGTAAGCAAACCAATATAAAATTTTTAAAGGGGGGGAAAATCACAACATGCCGCTGTTGAGTATATTCACAGTGACCCTCCATCATTTCTGTTGTCAGAACTGACCAGAGGACCCTCTGGCTTTCAGCAGCTGTAAGTCACAGATTGTCCATCTTTCCTCTGTAGAGCAGCTGGTGGATTTGAACCACATGCTTTTGGGTTGGCAGCTGACCACTAAGCCACCAGTACTCCCTCAGGAGGGTTTACTGGGGGCTTTAAATCCTAACGGAGACCTCCTGTCATTCCTCTGCGGAGCCAGATGTGGGGTCAAACTGCTGGAGAAGCACAGCATCTAGGTTGGCAGCGCAATTCTGCATGGTCCACAGACTACAGCTCAAGCCCAAATAAGGAACTACTCATTATAGACATTCGAAGAAATACATTTTGTGGGCTTTTGAAATACACTTCAATGTGAGGTCGTGGTTTTTTGGTTTGAGGGTGTGTTTTTCCACAGATAAGCTGGTAACACTTCTCCCTGAGTATTGCCCACTATTACAGCACTGTGGAGATGCCCGCCGGTTCCTCAGCGTCCTCAACACTCTCACTGCCTGGCCGACAGATCAAAACCTTTGTCTCCCAGTTCTGTGGGCCTAGAAGTTCACCTCCCAGCTCCTGCTGCTTCAACACTCAGGACTGAGGCCATTTTGCTTTAAGTCCCACTCATGCCAATGACGGAAGCCATAAAACCAGGCAACACCAGGCACAGGGGGAGCAGTTGTCGGCCTCCAGTAAGACTGAGGCTTCTTGCCTCATCTGTGGACTGACGTCGGCAGTCATGTGCTACCTAGAGGAGTTCTGGGAGGTTTTCATGTGACCCGCTGGGAAGTCACTCATCTCTATTCAGGATCCCACCCTGGCTCTCTTGACTCATACTTCCTTCCCTTTTTACTTCTGCACATCCTATAATATAGTCTATTTTTGGATTTTGTTTTGTTTTCTAGCCTTGTTGAGCTCCTAGGACAACACCTAGTACTGAAAGTTATGAGTACGGTACTTGTGAGGTTTGGGAGGTAGAGGAGGGTTGTTGACCAACAGCACAAAGGGTTGACAATGTCCCAATGAAAAAAGAATTGCACGGGCTGTGAAGGACCCAGGCTTGGAAGTAAAGTTCTGTGAAAATTAAAGTTGGGAACAAAATAATAAAATCTTTTCTGTTCCACAAGGAATGGTGGTTCACAAACCTTAGGAGAAAGTACAGACCCACGGCCATCTCTACAGTTCTCCTGCCAAACAAATGAAGCCTGAAAGCCTGAGGCCCGTGGATGAACCCTGATGATCAGGAGAGCTTTAGCTTGCTTTGTATACCTATTCAAGGACAGCAGTCCTAGATGCAACTCTCTGTGCCAGCGCCGTGGTGGCCATGGCTGACGTGAACTGCAGGATATAATTTAGACCTGCTGATCCAACACCAAGGCCCCAGAGCCCATGTTCTAACACTACCTCCAAGTGAAGCTGATCAGATTGATGTGTCTAAACCACTGCCCTGAAATGATGCTTCAAACCAGCAGCCAGGAAAAGCTGAAGACAGTCTCTCCCTAGATACCCATCCTCTTGCTCTCTTAAAAGAGCCCTGGTAGCTCAGTGACCACATGATGGACTGCCTACCAACCCAAAGGGCAGCAGGCTGAATCCACCTGCTGCTTCGAGAGAGAAAATGTACAATCTTGTAAAGGTTTCCAGCCCTGGAATCTTGAAGGGCTGCTGAGTTGGAGCTGGTCTCATGGCAGTAAGCTGGACTGGGATGGTTCATCTCCTAGGGAGCTCTGATGACCAAGTGGGTAAGGATTTGTGCCGACAACCTGAAAAAACAGGGTCTGCAACCAGTAGCTGCTCCGCAGAAGAAAGATGTGCAATCTCCTCCCACGTAATTTACTGCCTCTGAAAGCCTGCTGGAGCATCAACTGGGTCAATTTTCACTCGATGGCACCTCCCACTGCCTTTCCTGCAGCAGCTCAGGCTGAGGGGCAAGTGTACTGAGTGAAATATCCCTGAGATCTGAGAAGGAAGGTAGGTACCATGGCTTGCTTTATTGGACACTTTGTTGATGACACCAAGGTCTAGAAGTTACAATGTTAAATAATTATTTAAAAACTGACCAGGACTCAAACCCTGGTCCAGAGCTCCAAACCAGAAGCAGAAAGGATGGTGTGGTGGGGCTGGGGGTTTTCCTCCAACTTCACCCAAACCCAGAAAATGAGCGTCCTAAACGCCTTCACAGGCCAAATCCAGGGCTTGGGCCCCAGGGCTAATCCTCAGGTGACTCTGGCTGTGTCACTATCCAGGTAAGGTGACCAACCAGAGCTGGAAGGGAAGAGCCAGCCAAGTCCAGACACGGACAAAAGTAACTGGGAGGAGGATGAGAAACGGACAGGTACTGTCCAGCTGTAGAGAAGAGCGCAGCTAAGGCAGGCTGAGGGCGGGGCAGGGGCTGGGAAGCAGTATTGCAGCAAATCAGGAGTGCAGCCCTGGAGTCCCATCCTGAGTGGCCGGTCAGGGTAGCCGCTGTTAAGTCCCCAGTGGAACTCCTGACCCGAGCCTGAGCAGAGTGCTCACACATTGTGGGTCCTCTTAGTGAGCTGGGGCTCCTCATCTACCAACTTGGACTTGAGGTGCTCCTTGTAGGCCAGTATGTCTCCAGGCCACTTGGTGATTGTCTGCTTCTCACAGACCCAAATTTCCTGTGCCACCTGGAAGAAAAAGCAGAGACTCAATTCTGACAAGGCCACCCTCTCCAACCTTACCTGAAAGACAGTTCTGAGGGGACTCAGGAAGGATCCCTCCACTTGCCATGTGTCCCACTGCCTCTCCTGGGAGCTCTCTGGGGGTTGTACCCAGCCTGGCCCCTCACCTGTTGAATGAGTCTGAAATCATGGCTGACCAGCATCATGCCACCTTCAAATTCATTGATGGCATCAGCCAGCGCATCAATGGTTTCAATGTCCAGGTGATTGGTGGGTTCATCCAGGAAGAGCAGGTGTGGGTTCTGCCAGGCCAGCCAGGCCAAACACACACGGCACTTCTGCCCATCAGACAGGTTCCGGATTGGGCTCACCTGTGGGGATCCATGACAAATGCACAATCATATCACAGTCCCCTCAGCCATGGCTCTTCTGTTAGCACCATTGTTTCACAAAGAGCGAGGTGCAGAAAGGCCAAGACCACTCAGCAAGCTGGGGGCAGAGTCACTTCATTTCTCTTCAGTCTTTGCCACCACCAAGAACATAGCTCTGTCCCAGTACACACAGATCTTAACAATGGAGCAACCCAGTGGCTCTGCTATTCCTGACCAGAATTTCAGAACTGTCAAAGCTTCATTTCCTGCTCTCCTGGAAGCAAACTTCCTAAACCCCACCAGCAGCAAGGTGCGTTCCTCGCCTCTCCTGTGTAAGATCATCGCAGCACTGCAAGGCATGGCCATCTACATTAGCCTTGGACTCAGAGGCTTCTTGAGCCCGGAAAAGTTAGAATAATGGCTATGTCTTCCTTCCAACCTCTACAATAACAAGTGAAAGCAGTATTCCTTAGGTGCTGAAGTCAAAGGGAGGAAGTTTTGGGGGAATGCCAAGCCTAGATTACCAAGACCATATCTCATGGCCTATCACACCAAGAATTCCAACTGAGTGAGCTTTTGCCCCACATCCTGTTCACTGACCTGCTGTTTTCCAGTAAGACCGTATCGCCCAATGATCTTCCTCATTTCTTCCTTCTCTTTGATTTCTGGGTAGCACTTCATCATGTACTCCAG